TGTTCCATTAAAGCAAGGAAGGTGATAAAATAAAAACTACATTTATTTAACTCGGTACTGTCTTTATTATACCAGGTGCGTCTCAAAAGTGGCTCATCCCCCATAATTTTTTTATATTTTCAAATAAAAAAACAAGATTTAGTATGTTAGTATATGAAATAAATTAGGATTGATTGACGCATTCAATTGTTTTTGGTCACTTCCTGTTTCACCGGAAATGACTATAACTTTTAATTTTTAAACGGCACCCTCGGTATATTTCTACTTTATTCGATAGAAAATGACACTCTGAATAGAATGACATACCATATGTCAACTTTTGACATTTTCGCATATGGTTTAATTATAATTGTAACACGCGGTTTATAACGACAATTTGACTCGAAATACCAAGTGTGTGGTATTTCATATATATTCATAAAAAAATGCTTTTTCCAAATATGCTAATGAGTCACCCTTGTTCCATTTGAAAAAAATTGACATATGTATGATTAAAAATACGATTTGTACATCTTTTAACCGGCCTAGACAAGACACGAAACCTATTAGACGATCAAAACTATTTTTCCAAGGCTCCTTGATTAAAACTTAGTGTTTTTAACAACACCATGGCACCCTGGATTGAAATTTAAAATACGATTTGTTTTTCAGCGACAATGTCAAAAGTTGACATATGATATGTCATTCTATTCAGAGTGTCATTTTTTATCGAATAAAGTAGCAATATACCGAGGTTGCCTTTAAAAATAAAAAGATGTAATCATTTCGGTGAAACAGGAAGAGACCAAAAACAACTGAATACATCAATAAATCCTAATTTATGTCATATACCTATAACATACAAATCTGTTTTTTTTATCTGAAAAAATAAAAAAGTTATAGGGGGTGAGCCACTTTTGAGACGACCCGGTATATTAAAAAATATTGTTTCATAATGTAATATCAATTTAAAATTCTTGTATGTTATTTTATATGCTCAAGATAATTTTAGAATAAACCATATTTTTAATAAAATCATTATTAATTATTAACAGGGTTATAATTATGACTTTGTTACAATGTAAGTAAGTAAATAATGTAATGAGAAAAAATTCAGATTTTACATTTTACTAAAATATTATCTAAATAAGCGCCTTTCTACAACAACGCCACTGGCTCCCAATGGGCAAATTGAGAGTTGTCTACCGGTCGAAAGTCGTTTCAAGACTTAAATGGATTATTTAAGTCAAATTTCTTGCAAATTTGGCACTGGCGAACCATATTTTATAGTTCTTGAACAGAAAAAGTCAATAAAATAAACACTTAAGGACTACAAACTAAGAAAATGCGTTAATACAGCCGGGGACATAGCGGCATCAAAGCTTTACCGCACACTTGCCACGCGTACTACAAGGTAATAAATGAATGAATAGGCTCCCTCGCCTCTAATCGGTGTTATCATATTGTAAAGAACTTATCCTTTTTAAACAGTATCCGACTTATAATTTAGTAGTATAAGGACTATTTAATACATCTATGGAATATTAAAACCTACTTTATTAAACTGTAGTATTAATATCTCAATATATGTGTATAACAAGAAAAAAAATATTGATAATATTAAAGACGTGACAACATAGGCTGGATGAGGAAGGCTCGGTCGACTGTACCCAGAAGTAAACATGTGTACAAAAAAGGTTGTTTGTCCGCGTTGAGATGTAAATAGTGTAGTCTATATTTTATTTTAAGTCTATGATTAGTATAGATAATAAAATCTCCTATACATAGATCACAAAATCAAAGAAAAATTAAACTGAAATATACAGAGCGTCTGTCCGTTCTGTGGCTACCGGGTATCCGTGAGAGGGGAAATGATATTCTCTCGATGTTTTTCGTAAAAAATTAGACGACGCATCCCATCAATAAAAATTCGACAAATTTGCAAGTAGCCAATAAAATGAGTGGGCGGAGCGATTTGCGGTGACGTACTCGTCAAGTCGACGTATAAAATATATTGCTGTTTATTTAAATGTTTTTGTCCGCATTCCTTTCATAGACACAGATCCAGCAGACGAACTGTACATATACAGGGTGGTCCGAACTGTATTCCGGAAACTTCGGCAGCATATTCTGCATATAAAAATAAGTAAAAAAGTTCGTATAAAGGTATGTCCTAAAATGCTTAGTTTCGGAGATACAGGGTGTAGAAGTTTCATTTTTATTTCGCTTTTTTCTAAATATTTTCTGAATTAAAGTCAATATTTCGATTAAAATTGGTGTCGGGGAGTTTTTTGACATGAGAAATTTGATTTTGATGTCAATATGACTCCTACTTGTAGGGGGCGCCACCTACATGTGTTTTAACTGTTTTGAAGAGTAATAACTTTTCGTCCGTACCAGTATAAAACTACCGAGTGAAAAAATTAACATTTTTGTGATTTTTTAAGTAAAAAATGTCTCTTGGTAAAAATCACAACGAGCAATGTTTCTCGAGATATTTGGAATCGAAATTATCAATACCTCTCATCATTGACATAAATTAAACATGTTAACTAAATAAATAGTTATTAGACTGAAATCATAAATTTCAAATGTTTTTGTGCCAACAGTTCAACAGAAATTGTTTTTTTATTATTTTTTCAAAGAAAAATTTATGATTAATTTAAAAAAATAAAAAATTAATAATAATTAATAATTTCAATCAAATAACTACCTACTCAACATGTTTATTTTTTGTCAATAATGACATGTATTGACTATTTCAATTCTAAATATCTTGAGAACGGTTGCCCGTAGAGATTTTTACCAAGAAACATTTTTTACGTAAAAAATCACGAAAATGTATATTTTTTTACTCAGTAGTTTTATACAGGTACGGACAAAAATTTATAACTCTTCAAAACAGTTAAAACACATGTAAGTGGCGCCCCCCACAAATAGGAGTCATATTGACATCAAAATTAAATTTCTCATGTCAAAAAACTCCCAGACACCAATTTTCATCCAAATATTGACACTACTTCAGAAATTATTTGGAAAAAATCGAAATAAAATTGAAACTTCTACACCCCATTTTAGACTAGACACCAATTTTCATCCTAGAGTAGAAACTAGACACCAATTTTCATCCAAATATTGACGTTACTTCAGAAATTATTTAGAAAAAATCGAAATAAATATGAAACTTCTACACCCTGTATCTCCGAAACTAAGCATTTTAGGACATACATTTATAGGAAGTTTTTTTTTACTTATTTTTGTCTGCAGAATACAGAATACAATTATATACAATTCGGTACCACCCTGTATTTAAAAAATATATTTAACTTATATATTATATTATAAAAAGAATTTTCTTATCGTACCTAATTACGATCTTCGAGTTGCCTTGGAAATTCATTTATACGATAAACAACTCGTTGATCTTATTATGACGTAAACTATTCCACATTTATCAACTTCGACGTTATCTAACAACAATACCACATCCCCTAACACATTCATGACCATTTTTTTCCGCAAAAATCACAAATAAAAAACCCTATCTTTACACAATTGGATTTTGAGACACATCAGTTGCTATAGGAACGACTTCCGTATGAATCCGACGTAAGAACATCGTCCCACTACCATATTACGTGCTTCACGTGCCCGTACAGAATCCCAATGACGTACGTCTCAGTTTACACCCGAGAAACTACAGCGTCACTGTTGCTATGACAACGAGACGCGAGGTTGTCAGTTCGGGCTGGAATACGTTTGATTTGATGAAAAAAGCCTTCAATGAGATTAAACAAACCTTGATTTTTATCATAATAAATGCCAAAAATACACTTAAAGTTCATTTTTTATTATCTGAAATGATAAGCAATAAAATATTAAGCCATAATAAAAAAAATAGTAATAATATATGTAGTTTAAAAAGATTAAAAAATATTTATGTACTTAATACCAAATTAATTGTTAATTTACAGAGCTAAATAGTAAAATACAGGTAAATAAAAAATAATAAACAATATATGGGGAAAATAATTCTAAACTCTGGCAACAACGGTAAATTAGTTGATGAAACAATTTCGGTTTGTAGATATATTTAAGAATAACTAATAATTCATTGCTTCCTTCTTTCTCATGTTTATCTTATTTAAATTTACTCGCAAATATCAATGGCAATTATGACATGCGTTAAATTAATCTCTGTTTATCAAATCAATCATAAATTTTCTCTCATATTAACTAATACATCGACTCTATTATACAACAATCATTTTGTTTAGAAATGCTTAAATTTTAATATTTCTTATATCAGGTTCAAATATAAAGTGATATTGAACATGGATTAAAGATATTTTTCCATATGACAGCAAATATGTTATGTAATAAGATATTGCTGCATAAAATTGTTTATTTGCTCTAACAATTATTGCAATTGTTAAGCAAATATAGGTCATTTAGGAAACTTCCAAAATTCTTTCGAAAATATGTCTTGAAATAGAGTTGTCCTAGCTCATATAAAATGCTATTTTGAGATACACTTTTCATCTCTTTGTAAAGTAAAAAATAGACTTTAGAAAAAGAAAAATATCTGTAGCCTCCTTTATTAGAATACTTACAGCATTGAACACTATGAACCATATTCTATCAGAACAATTGTTTGGATGAGAGTTTGTTATAAAAAAATGTGCCACGCGTTACACATAACCATATTTTCCAAAGTGACTTTTCAAGCATACCTTATTTTAAACTGTTCCAACCATATTTAAATTGATTGAAAGAAGCCCCATAACGTATTTTTATTTATTCCTTTTGGAATTACAGTCTAAGCTTTAGCAAACAGATCGTTATTAGGCAATATAGGTCAAAAATTCAGCCATTAAACAAATACACATCGTGAATGTGACATGGTTATTTTATTTGTTTCATCAACATATCTGATATAACAAAATTTAAAATTGTGCTCGTTCGATTATACATACTTCGGGGCAACTTTGGGGTTAGTGAAAAACAAAAACACATCGTACCTTTACGGAAAAAAATGGAGAAAAACTAACAAACGAAACACTGAAACCAAGACCACACCATTTTCTGCCACAAACACATGATATCACAGATTTGTTTGAAGCCACACGTCATTCGTGATTTTCAAATGTTCCCGCCGCCGATTTTAATCGATAAAGTTTTAGATTTATTTTCGGCCAAGTAAAATAGAAATCATAAAACACATCATCAGTATTTTGAATAGAGTTAAAAAATACTATCATTAGATAATTTCTTGCTAATTTACGTACGTAATTATAATTTAATATTTTTATATGAATTTAATAAACTACCAGATAAACACAATGTCAGTTTTACTGGTTGTCCAAATTTTAATATTTATTATTGTTTATTAATTTTTCCAATATTACTTTTAATGATGTGTACATAGGACACTCGAAAGTAAAGTCTACGGACTTTACTCCATGTTTACTTTAGAACGGTTGAATGACGGTCTGGTGATGGTCATAAAAACACCCATAAAAGGGTTACAGAAACGTTAATTACTCTTAAAACCCAATATTATTAATTAATCTGTTATTTGCATTTAATATAATTACAGGTCATGGTTCTGAAGTTGCCCTATTTGCACGACAATACATTTTATTAGTATTTCAAGGGTATTTCCAAAAGAAACAAACATTTTAATTCTTTACTTTTTTGAACAAATTATAATATATGTAGCATTATATCTTGTATTAAACGTAGATTAAAATATAATAATTATCTCATCTATTAATAGTAATTATACATAATTTATAATATAAACATTATTCAAATAAAATTAAAATTATTAGTTACCTTTGAATTGCCGCATATAGCGACATCTAGTGCCGTTAACGCATACTTAGTATTGAATTCTTACATATACCTGCTTCACGGAAGCCGATTTTGGGGCTGTATTCAACCAGTTGATCTTAGCTCTGGTAGATGGCGCGGTATGTACCGACTTTAAAAAATTTAAAATAAAATAATATACAGGGTCGGCAAATGGAAAAACATTTGCTCTTCTCTCTTTGTTTAGTACATCGTATTGTACTGAAACACATTGATTCTCCTCTTCGTACACTTGCACCCCATGGTACAAAGACAAAGAATACAAGGTTTGATATTGCGCAGGTTGGTCGCTACGTCACAGGTGATAACAGGCGCTATTGGTCAGCACATGGTCAGCACATGGTCAGCACGCTCCGCGCGCCGGTCAAATCGTCACGGTATTGTTATAAACCTGTTTTTTTGTTTATATACCGTCATTGAATTATCGCTAAACAAGTTACTGTGGAACAGTGCGTAAGGAGTTGGGCTAGGAAGCGAGAGACCGGAGTTCGAATCTCGGCGGGACATAACTTCTTTTTTTAAATACTGTTGTATTCTATAGTTTATTTTTGTAGTGTAAAAGAAAGAACTATTTATTCTGTTATTTTTTAATCTGCGGTATTAATATAAATTGATTGTTGGTACAATACCTCATTTAATATAAAATAATATTCTACTTTTTGAAATGTATCTGGCCCTAATTGTACCTAAAAGTAATATATTTTTACAGTGATATACCATATTGTAAACTATTGAATATTTCAGTCACTTAAAAAGTTAATTTGCATTGAATAATTGCCTACGATCAAAGGAAATTTGAGCTATATAATCCTTGATGGGCATATTCTGGGTATGCAAATACTTCCTCTAAATTTTAGGTTTCGTTCAAACGATTCAAATTTTGGGTGTGGTTCAACCGATTTATTCTCAAAACTAGAAACATCTACATATAAAAAGCAGCACAGGTCACTAATTATAATAAACTTCACCCTTGGAATTACTTCTATCACATTTACAATACATTCATCTGCATTGGCATTTTCTACTTTTCGATGGGAAACAATATAATTTTTTAAATGATGTAACAATTCCTCTTGTGGTTACTTTTCCATAGATATCCTCATCTCTGTCCTCATGTGAATTCAGAGGCAATGAACATAAAAATTATTTACCATAAACATCGCAAACTAAAAACCTAATAAACAATTTTATACCGAATATAGAAATAAATTTAGTATTCTTACCTATTACGGTCCAAATCCATGTTAATAGATAATTATTATTTTTAAATATATTTTTGAAACTGCTGGTTTTAGTAATTATTAAATTAAACGAACTAAAAAGTCTTAAAAATAAACAATTCTTAACCATAATCCCAAAAAATGCAGATTGCAGATCTCCTGTCAACTTTCTTTATTTTTTATTTATTCATTATTTTCCTAGTGACGTCACAGGTGGTATGCGCGAACTGAACGAAATTGGAGCCGCTATCGATCATACCTTGTATTCTTTGTACCATGCTTGCACCCTAGCAAGCATAGACGTGATTTTAGGGGGGCTTAAGTCTTCTGGGGCGCTCAGCTGCTCAGCTCACTTAACTTTGAATAGAACGACAAAAGACATATCATATGTCAGCTTTTGGCATTTTCGCATATGGTTTATTTGAAATAAAACATGCGGTTCATAACGACAATTTGACTCGTACCAAATTATTCGTAAAAAATGTTTTTTTTAAAATGCTATACAGGGTGTCCCAGAAATAAGTGCAAGTATTTCAACTAGTAGTATAGTTCAACCCCAGAAACACGAAAAAAAATTGAAAATTCGAAATTCTTTGAAAATTTTTTTGGAATTTTTTTAGTTTTTAGTTAAAAAACATAATTTCCTGATAATATGGCAACATAGGTATTATATCAAATTTACAAGAAAGAAAATCCAGAAAAGATCCAGTGGTTCTCAAAATTTTAGCAAAAAATATTTTTGTTTGGAAATTTTCAAAGTAAAATAACTCCGTTATTTTGGACTTATTTGAAAAACGATAAAGAGAAAATATGTTTCTTTTATTACCCCTTAAAACACTTACACTTATTTCTGGGATACTCTGTATAATGATCGAGCCACCCGTGTTCCATTTGAAAAAATTGGGCCTCTTTTAACCGGCCAGGACAAGACACAAAAACATTAGACGATCAAATCTATTTTCCAAGGCTCCTTGAATAAAAAATTAGTGTTTTTTACACAGCCATGGCACCAGTGGCGCATCTAGAAATTGAGTCTGGGGGGGGGGGGTTATGGCAATATTTAAATAAAGTACCGTATTATCGAAAAAAACGGCGTCCAGTTGGCTGGGAAATGACGATCAATGATATTTCCCATAGGTATAAATTTACACATAAAATGACAGCGATTATTTCATAGTCATCGCGGACGCCGTTTTTTTCGATCATACGGTACTAAATTTAAATTATATTTTCGCTGGGTGATTGTGACGGAAAGAAAAGTGTGCGTGTGAAAAGAAATATACCGTATGATCGAAAAAAAATGGCGTCCAGTTGGCTTGGAAATGACGATCGATGCCATTTCCAATATAATTTTACATATAAAATGACAGCGAACTTCATTTCATAGCCATCACTGACGCTGTTTATATTCGATCATACGGTACTTTGATTGGTTTTAATTTTGTATTTTGAATGGTATTATTAACTTTTTTTTTGAGACTTTATTTTTGAGATTTTATTTTATAACACATTTTATCTCATTCATAAATTTCTTCCTGGGAGGGGTAATTACCCCCATTACCCTACAACCCCTCCCGTATATGCGTCCCTGCATGGTCCACTAAATTGAAATTTAAAATACGACTTTTTAAGCAAAAATGTCAAAAGTTGGCATATGATATGTCATTCTATTGTGCTGTTTGTTTTTTATTGTTAATCTGGATACAATAAAAACATCTAATCCAACCAAACCAATCACGGCGCGCCTCAACACCATGTATATTATTTTTTCAATAGATGGAGAGTTAAAAAATAAACATATTTTGTATTTAAAGTATTTGAAAACTTTTAATGGTTTCGCAGATCAGGGGTGGCTGGGGAAATGGAAACCGGCCCGGGAAAAACAGGCAACCGGCCCAAATCCACAAAAACAAAATGACCATAACGAAGATACGACATATTTTATTTATTAATATACAGGGTGTCCCAGAAAAAAAATATTTTTGCTAAAATTTTGAGAACTGTATATCTTTTCTGGATTTTCCTTCTTGTAAATTTAATCTAATACCTATGTTGCCATATTATCAAGAAATTATGTTTTATAACTAAAAACTAAAAAAATTTCCAAAAATTTTGTCAAAAAATTTCGAATTTTCCAAAAAAATTTTTTCGCGAAAAAACCTTATAGGCGTGTTTCTGGGGTTGAACTATACTACCAGTTGAAATACTTGCACTTATTTCTGGGACACCCTGTATAAGTAAGGGTGTTTTTCGCTCGTGAGAAAAAGCTCTTTTGCCTCTCTATGGTTTAAAAAAAAATTAAATTGTCTTGATCAAAATTTTCGTAAAGACTAATATTGGGTCGGACATCTGAATTTTTACCACAAAATGGCTCAGTTTTACAGGGTTCTACTGCTTTATTTCCATTGTCGATAACGGTAATTTGATCTTGAATAGGCTACGATTTTTAGGAATTTTAAGATTTCCTGATTCATTCAGTTCAGCTGACCCAATCCTCTGTGAAATACATTACTTCTTAGCTTTTCGGGTATATACTTTCTTACACATTGTAATTCTCTCTTGTCTGCTACAACAGGCTTTACAAAGGGGAGCTCGAAAAATATTGCACCGAGGCATATTGCACCGAAAAATATTGCACCCAGTTGTCAATCTACGCTACCGTATTCTTAGTATATATCACTTAGATTGAGACTATTTAAATTTACCTAATGCTATTCATTCTTTTTTCTGCTGCCAGTCATATTTATTAGTTATTAATAAAAGAATAGTGGGTAAAACTATACAGGGTGAATCTTAAATAAGTGCAAATATTTTCAGGGGTGGTATATTTCGACCCCAGAAACACGTCTATGAGTACACAAAAATATGTTAAAAATCGAGTATTTTCTTTTAAATGTTCCTGTATATTTTAAAAAACTTTTTAGAATTTCCTGTTTACCGCAAATTTTTCCACGGTATAGTTTGTTAATCTCTGATATTAGTGCGCTAAAAGAGATGCAAAT